ATTAGTAAAACCATTACCAAGTGCAACTCTCAGAACATACAGAAACATAATACACGAACTGCACTATATACAAAATGCTTGTTGACTGTCAAATCGTTGTCTCAATAATATTTTTGGCTCGGTAATATTTATAAATAGTATTGTTGTAACTTCATGTTGTTGTTCCATTTTAGTCATTTAATCCTAGCATATATCCAAAGTTTTTAATTTGTCTAAGTTTGCTGATATAATTTTCAGAATCTTTCTTAAATTCTTTATAAATTTCTTTATCTCCTTTAGTTGAAAATTGATACTTTGTTATCTTCTTATAATACCAATATTGTGTTGGTATATACTGTAATTCTTGATCAATATAAGATCCTAATTTTAGAAGTTCAATGTACTTTCTATTTTTATACAATATAATTAATTCTGTTGTTTTCGAGTATTCTTGCTGTATTTCAGTTTCTGCGTCTTGTAATATGATTTGTAAGTAATAAAATAATGGAGCTATTTTTTCTATTATTTTTGTTGGTTTGATAGGTTAATATCCTTTAATCTCTTTTTTTATAAAGATTGGTTCACTTGGTTTTTCTGGTCACTATGTTGTTTTATTTTGATAGTATTTGTAAACTTGTGGTATTAAAAATCATTATCGATCTAAATGTTTTGAGAGAATATGTTCTCTCTGTTCTACTTTTACAAATGCTCCTTTGGTGATTAATAATGTATTGATACTAAATATTACTTTATGCAATATGTGTCCTATTGGGTTTGGAATGTAGTTATTATCAACGTTTTTTATATTAAAATATCTACAAATTTCTGATAGTGTTGCTTCAAAATAATTAAAGTAGTTAGATATTTGTAATGCTGTTTTTTCTTGTTCTAGGACTGTTTTTCCAGAAAATAATCTAGGTACTTTTTCTGGTTGTGTGATATAGTCAGCTACTTCGTTTGCTACTTGTAGTAGTACTAATATTAATTCTAATCTATAGTTATTGGTTGAGTTAAGCCTTTTTAACAGTATTTCTATTGTTGCTTGAATATCAAGTTGAATGTCATATGTATACTATTGTTTAATTATGTCTTCATTTTCTGATAATTCTTTTTTATAATATTCATCCTTTGGATATGGTATTCTTTCTTGATGAAAGTCTTAATAGTAATTGAATCGTTGTTAAAATATTTTTAAGGTTTCTTCTGTTGATTCTAATTCTGAATCACTGTATTTAATTTGTGTAATCATTATATTCTAGCATATAATGTAGAAGGTAGTTCTTCTAAAAATATTGATGGATCGGTATTAAAATGCCTTTTATTATATTCATTTTGTATATAGTGCAGTTCGTGTATTATGTTTCTGTATGTTCTGAGAGTTGCACTTGGTAATGGTTTTACTAAT